GGAGAGAGAGAGGAAAAAAACCCACCCTGGGCCTGCACATTGCAGCTTACCGCCATCTTGATGTCCTTGATGCGTGCCGATGGCATGGAGGCGGCTGGCACCAGATCAGCCCAAGAGAAGGAATGAGAGGCCAATGGAGATTTATGTGAGGAGAGTGAGATGGACAAGGTAAAATTGTCAGGAGGAGTTGTTAGAAAGTAAAATATATTGTGACAATTCCACTCCTGCCGTTCATCAATAAACTGACAGATCATTTAGTGTCAATTAGGAGTGATAGATGGACAAGTCCCCATGATCCTGGGCCAAAATTAATGGCTGGGAGGGAGAGGGTGATTGAAAATGACGGCTGACATTGAGAGGAAAGTCCTGAAGGTCCCCAAGGGGCCATTACTTGCCTCATTCCCTTGCAGATCAATGCAGGGACAAACCCAAAAACAGACACTTCAAGACAAAACTTAATCAGACTTCCTTTTCTTTCTTCTCCTTCTAAGTTGTGCCCCCTCACTTGGCAGCCTAGATCCTTTGTGTCTATACTCTTCACATCATTGAGGACATCCACAGATGGCTGCAAGATGCAATATGCCATCTCCCCCACAGCCAGGAACCTGGCTCTGCTCCTAACATGGCAGTGTCGGGGGAAAGCCCGGCCTGAGATTTACCTCAACACTACTGGACTGGGAGTAGAGGGCAGAAGCAATGACACAAGCTTCCCCCTACCATGTCAGATAGAGAAACCCATGAGTGCTTTACTACTCCCATTTGCAAGAGAGGGATTGCTGGAGGTTCTATAAACCAGGCACTCTCAGGGGTCATTTCGTATAGATACAACACAGGATAGTTTAAGCCCATATTTTTGAAACAGGAGGTTTTTAACTTTACTTACCTCTAGAGACCTTGAATCATAAAACCCCCTTAATCTCTTAGATAACCTTCCTCCAGCCCCCGGGTGCAATCTCACCATTGCCCACCCTCCAGAGCCCTAAATGATATCTACACAGAGTCTAGGTTAGCCTGCTCTAAAGGTCACCCCCACTGCATCTCCCTTCCTTCCTACAGGTCTTTAATATTCACCTTCTTGATAAATGCATTCCTGGACACTGTACCACCACTTCTGTACCAAAATACTTCAGCATGACCATTTTCCCAAATAAGCCTTGATTATTTCAACTCTGTATGACCTATCAGTCAGAAAAGAGAAACTTCATTTGTAGCTGGAGCACCTGTTGCTAAACTGCCACAATCCCTGCAGAAGGAGGTGCATGTGCAGGCACTGCAAGGGGCTTCCTACTGAAAGTTTCACTTGCCTTTGCTTGCAGGGCCACCTGAAATTAGCTGTTATTTATTCCACAACAACCCTAGCCGCTGTCTGCAGAACTGTATGAATTTTAAGGGGCTGATTGCAAGACCAAAGGGATAAAGGATCCAAGTAAACTGGAATTGTCCCGAGAAGCAAAAAAATAAAGATACTAATAGGGAGAAAAATGGAAAAATTCAGAGAGATGAGATCAATAGAAGTTGGAATTAAATGGATCCTGGAAGCACCTCTCCTTTGTCAAATCCTCACCAAAACTGAGTTCCCTTTTCCTTTTTGCCATTGTCAGGCACTTTGTGTTTCTTCCTTCTGATTCATGAGATAACCTGACAATAAACCTCTGCTTTGCTTGTCACAAGTGTCAACACTCATGTCCTTAAGGACATCAACACAGCGTTCAGAATGGCACGTGGGCTCCATCCAGTGGTCACAGAGCTGCTCCTGTAGCAAACCCAGCTGTAATTACTATTATTTACGTAATCTCAGCAGGGTACTAGGCCCCAAGTGGATGCCTGGGCTCCTGGCTGGTTCCCTTTCCTCTGACACTGGGGCTAGAATATTGCTGGGGCAGCAATGGGACTGTCTCTTCTCATAGAGAGCGAGTCTTCTCTCTGAGTGCAAATTTAAATAAATACAGCAGATTTAGGTGCAGAGAGCACCATCAGTAAGAAAAAAAAGATTCTTCCATCACTACTCTGCACCATCTCTTACCTGCAGTCCTCATCTTTATCCAGATTTACAAAATGGGACTCCTAGCAATGACAGCTGTTCTACAGAGGTACTGGGAGTCCAAAGTAATCTTTCCACGATTGACTTTTGAAAACTTACCAGTAAAAGACAACATTTTGACAATTCTCGGGAATTTAAATATCGGATACTTGTAAATGCTATGGGAACTCATAATAAAATACTTTATCTTACTTGGAGATCCTCTGTGCAAATTCAATCCCAAACTAATTACAGGCTGGAAAACTTTAAGGGCCCTCCTGCTCTTTCTACCTTGCAGCACTCTGAGACAGCAGTAGTCTGACGGAAAGAATCAGCAAGATGGTGAGAAAATTTGCAAGTTTACCTAAGTATGACAAGAGCTGGGCATGTAAGGGACTAAGAGGGAGCAGCAAAGGTAGAAAAACTGAAAAACAGTTTGCAAATTAAATTCTACTCTAATATGTCCCAAACAGAAACACAAAGAGTGATTTCAAGTGATCATTTCACATTAATAAGACTCTGAACTAGAAATACACAGAAAAGAGTTTAAGTATCCCTGCAGGAAAAGCAACAACTGTGCAGCTGCAACTGGCTGAATCTGTCAGAAACAGAACTAAAAGCTTAGACCTTAAATGGGGAGAGAATAACACAAACAGCTACAACATCATTTCACAAGAGGCTGCAGTATCCCATCTGACCCACAATATATTTACACAATACAGAAAATTCTAACTGTAACCACTCTGCTCATCCTTCCTAAGTAAAAAAAAAAAATCACAGATTTTAACACTGTCAGTTCTGAAAACCAAATTACTTAAAGCAATACAATTCCCAGGTGTAGGCTCAGTTACACTGGCATAAAAGTGCTTACACCTACATCAGACATATCAATAGAAGCATGTTATTCTAACTACATCTACACTAGTGAAATTGGAGCAAGTTAGCTTGATGGGCTTCCAAACTGAGTCAAATTGGTTGAAAAGCTGTGGGGAGATAGAGCCTGAGAAAACAGAAACAACAAAGCTACAGCAACATTGGTATGACATCAGCCAATGACTCAGACTTTTCACATGAAGACTTTACTCTGGGATATGTCACAAAGACAGCCTTACCGGCCAGCATCTCAGACTTTTTTAAGGGTGAGAGATCAGCTTGGGGAGAATACACAGCTGAAGGAAAGCAAAGACAGGGGAACTAGTTGTACAAAATCCTTGTATCTCATATGACTAAAGAAAGTCAGAAATAAACCTTCCTCTCATAAAATTTATGCAATAAAAGCTCTTAACACAAATGAAAAGAATACTGTCAGATATGACATATCGTATGTATGACTGAGCAAGGGGCACATCTTCATCTCATGTCCCATTGTCCAGGGTCTCACAGGTAACAGGTCTGCAGCTCTCCATCTCCTGTTGTGCTTCTTCAGCTGAATTGCACCCAAGTCCATAGAAGCATTTACTTCAGACACCTGCTGTATCTGTAAGCCATGCAATCTGGATGCTGGAGAATCACCACTGATAGCTACTGCTCCAAATCTATCAGATGGGTCTAATGTCAAACAACGGAAAACATCCTGAAGTAGCACATGGCACAGTGCTGTCACATTAGGAACCTGTACACTGTCCTTCAGGGCACATTAGGCACAGCCCTGAATAACTCAATTACCTCCAATCCAGTCCTTCATCTATCCAAAAATTACATAATTTATTTTTCCTAAACAATGCAATTCACCCTTGTTCTTTGCTGTCATATTTCCATAAAGCTTCAGCTTGGTCCTACAAAGATTCAGAATCATGGGTGGCATTTTCTTATAACCCTGAGGTGGATGCATCTTTGCAATTGCAACTTCTAGCTGCAGCCAGTCTATGAGAAATAATACCATTATCAGAGTTAAACTGGAGAAGAATAGAAGGAGTTCAGGCTGAGATCTTTATTCCTTTGCTTTACTCCAGTCTGCAGATTTTCAGCTGATTTATTCTTCAGAGACAAACAGAATGATAATTTTCCCAGAAAAGTACCATTTTCCTGAAAGGCTACCTCAGAATACAGACAACCTTTCTTACCACCCAAGAAATACTAACTGTATAACAGGTTTCTGGATGTCTTCTCCCATTCTCAGCGTCCCAGGAAAGAAAATAAATAGCTTCTCCATAAATCAGAGTGCCTCCAAAGTGTATGTCCAGACACTCTTATTATAGGCCTTAATGTATACAAGCAATCTCACACCACTCCATGAGTGAACCTTTCAGCTCTGTGAATAGGATATATAACACCAGCTTAACTTTACAGCTTGAAAAGTAACAAATAGCTTGAAATCGAGTAATCTCCTCCCAGTCTGAACTGTCCTTTGGTTTTCATACCCATTCTATTACCATGTCGAGATATTTCCTTTCCCTTAGGTGTTCTTCATAAGCATCAGGCTCCCCAGCCTACACTCTACAATTTGTATACTTTTTTCTTCCCATCTCTTCTTGCTGACCATCTCCATCCATCTCCATTATACCATAACCCCATACACACACAAACATTGATAAATTTCACCTTTACTGTCAAGACTGATCACTAAATTCTGAACTGTTCATTGCATTCATGTCAGTGGGGCACTGTCACACGTCATTCTCCTGGAAAGGACACAACCAGTCAAATCTGCCCCTCCCAGCTCCTGCATTTAACACGCTTATGATGTTCTTGAGTCCTTCCAGTTACTGTACCAGGTAAGGAATACACTGCCTCTGGCAGACAGTGACTTGTACACAGTTCTGAGCCCTGCCAGGACAATTCATAAAGAGCATTAGCCAGCAAAACCAAGGAAATGCAATACTTTAACTGGTTTGAAGGAGTTACAATGATATAGGAGACATGGGCCATCTACAAGATCCAGGAAAACTGTTCTAATGCCTGTGACAACAAAGCCAAACTAGTGATGTTCACTTAATCCATGCCAAAGCCCCTCTTAATAAGGAAAGGGGTAAGGACTCACTTGTTAGATGCCAGCACAGGATCATCTGCCCAGCCTCCTTGCCGGCGTGGGGGTTTAGGTGGTGGACCCTTTAATAAAGAGAAGAGACATATTACAGCCAGATCCAGTCAAGCAAAGTCAAGCCAACTGAGACACCAGGTTCACACATACTAATGCAACACTTTAGCAAATAACAGATGGAGAGATGGTGTTTAAAATGCTGTTTATTCATAAAATAAAAGGGAGACAAATATTGCAGGACAGGTTTTTAAGTGTCTCTGAAAGCAAAAGATGTATCACTTTAATCAGTATCTTGGCAAATTCCAGGTTTGTGTGCCTTCGACTTGTCCAGGACACACAGTACAGTAGCAGACTGATCCACAGAGGATGTGTTCTCCTGGCAAAATATGGTTCACTGGGAAGTCATTCATTACTGCTGCCCACATTTCAGTGGGAGGTATCACATGTTACATCTTTCCTAGGATACGAGTCAGTATATTTTAGATATCTTACTTTAGATGAAGAATTGTTCCTAAGAAGTGTCTGCTTTTGTCCACTGCCTAGGAGGTTAGATGCCAAGTTCAGATACAGCCAGACATGCCAAACACTTCAAAAGTTAGTTGAGATGAATCCCACCACTGAAATGCTAAAGCGGAAGTTTATCTGGAGCTTAAAGACACTCTACTATTTTCTTGTGTGGCACTCTGTCACAGAGCAAGAGAAAACAGGAATTCAGCTTGGGGATTACAATGGGAATTTTCAAAGAATGGGGCCATGAGTTCTCAACGTGTGGGAGGTGCCTGTTGCCTTTTGCAGCTTTGGGCTCAGTTCACCCTTCCTGAAACACCTTGTACAGCAGTACCTTCAGTGTTTTGCATGACAGGCAGTAGTGAAAGCAGAGGGGCAAGGTGAACCTGGTGAGTGAATTTCAGTTTATATAGCTCCCAATTGATGGAGCCCACTGAGGGAAGATGGGTTACAGGGACCTGTGAAGGGACTATCATGGGAAAGAATAATTGGGTAAAATATGTCCCAAAACAGGGAAAAATGGTTACTGCAAAGGAGTCTAAGCTGGAGCAATGGTGGGGGGACAGGTGGCTCTCACAGCTTTTATTAAGATACAAAATAAGCTGGGTGACTCCTGAGGATTTTTGACTTGACAGAGGGGACCTTGCATGCGTGGTGGGGTCAACCCTGAGCCAAAGCCAAATTACCTCTTGCCACAGATGAGGAAGGGGTTGAGCTAACCTCTGATGGTAGGGGTCTCCTGTGTTTATTTCTTGAAGCAGAAGCATTGTTTGTGAGTGTGGGAAATGAAGACACTCTGCCAGGGGCAGCCACTGCCTGCTGCAGGGAGGGGGCACGACCCTGCATAGCTCCCCGATAGGAGCAAAAATAGTCATCCTCCAAAAATAAACAAGGAGCAGGAATGAGGCAGGAGCTGCAGTCCCAAAATACCAGCTTTCTTCGGCAAAGGGAGCACAGGAGGGCAGAGGGACAGGCAGGGAGCGTGAAACGCAGGAAACGGTCTCCTTATATGGGCTCATCCGCAGGGGACAGAGCTCAGTCGACTGGAATGACCATGTCACAGAATGTGAAGCCTTCAGGGGCCCAAGTGAACGGAGTTTTCTGATCTTTAAATGATTCCCCCAGATTCTTAAGATGCCAAACCAGAGAAGAGGCTATAGTGCCAAAAAAGGAGCATTTTGAATTCAGTTGATCTGGACACACCCAGAGCCCAGGAAAAAGGGGAAAAACACACCACATATGGGCGTGCATGCCCACATAAACATCCCTATTCCCATTACACACACCCCTACCTCAAAAACACACTCCCTCCCACACGGATCCTTCCCATGCAAACAACCCTCCCCCCCTCACACCATCTCCCAGATAGCCAGCAGGCCGTGTTCCCAACGCACAGCCTCACAACTCCTCGCAGAGGTGCATGGAGTTACACAAATGTCACCAAAGAACCTGGGCCATAAGGCTGAGGGAAAATGCAGCACCTCCAGGGCATTACAATGCGCCTGCAATTTAATTCCCTCATCATCAAAATTAGCCTTCAGATCCAAGACATCTCAAGTTGGGCACTCCAGATCAGTGTGATGAGAATGACTGCCCCAGTCTTTGCACAGGGCATGACTTGATGGCATCTAGGGGTTTCATTCCAATGTTTTGACAATGTTGCAACATCCTCCCATTGATCACACACACCAGGCAACTCTGAATGTCTGTCAGACCCTGACAAACACCACACGTATACCTACAGGTCTATTATTCCTTTTGCAATAAATCAGGCAGTTCTTTTTGAACTGCCCACAGGACCACTAGCAACAGGAAAGGCAGTGTTAACCATCAGCTGAGGATAAACAGCTTTTCTGTTAGTTGCCTGGAAAGTGCTGTAATAAGCTCACATGCCACATTCACTTTTGTCAAGTAAATAAACTTACCTTTATATACTTTCACATCTCCAAAACATCAGCATAATTTACACTTGAGAATGTAGTGTTGTGCACTGTCATAGAACGGTGACAGGTAGGGATGTTGCAGCTGCAAGCAAGAGCTTGAGGCAGAAAGTGGGAAGAACATCAATCCCAGAGAGAGCAAAGCGGAAACAGAGTACATTGTTCTTCTGTAATGGAGCAAATGTGCTCCTGAACACACCCTTTTGGTGAAAAAGACTGGAGGCTCTCTGGGATCAGAACTTATTGGTAGCTACGTGTAATACTTGGGCAAGGTATTTATTCCCAATGCAAAGTTCCCAGATGCAAAGTTAAGCTATATACCCAAATGGTTCTGTGTTCAGAACACAGAGATTCCACCAGCTCCTGACAACAGTGTTCTCTCTCAGCTCTTGCTGCTGAGTCTCCTTCACAGCATTAACTAACCAGTTGCTTGCTGCGGTTTGCTTTTCCACTTCAGTTTTGTTAGTTATTTATCTCCAGAAGATTTCCTCTACATTAGTTTCTGCAGATTGTCCACTTTTTCAAGGCACATTGCCATCATCTGGGCCCTTCATTTTATTTTTCCTCAGAACTTCAGTTCACCACTTTTGTGATGGCACTTTTCCAGTATTTCTCAGGCTACCTTCCCTACCAACACTTTCATACTACCACAATAATTGGTATTATATCTCTCCCTATGAAAAATGACTAGCCTGAATTCCATCTCTCCTGCATTAAAGTAGAAACTCTACCTTCTTCTTTATCTGTAGTCAGGCCCTTTCTTATCAGACAGATGCAGAATTCTAATTTGGCTTCCCCATTAGGGCAGAAATTTCCAGGCCACTTGTCAGATCATGTCTGCAGTTTTGAAGGTGCTAGTTGGATGTTGCTTCCCTCATGGCAGTAACTACCCTGTGTGTCTCTCTGGATCCTGAGGTAGACCCCCATGTTTCTTTTAGGACCTATCACAACACAGACAGATTGCAGACATGTTGGGTCCCTCAGATTCTCAGGTGGGTCTGGAAATATAGATTAATTTACCTTTTTCAACATGACTACTCCTTTGAAACAGCAAGCACTCTGTGCAGGGAAGCAGGGACTCGAATGACATTGACAGCATGCAATAGAGGACACATAATTTTTCTGTCATGTAATACATCTCCTAAAATGTGTGGGATCTATGTTCTTCCCAATATACAAATGCTGTGAGATTTTATACAGTATATAGGTGCCTTAGTTTTATCCAATATTGACCATGGAGCAGAAAGAAAGAAATATGGCCAGTCCTGAGTTTCTTCTTCTCCAGCCAGTTGCCTGAGACTCCTCTGATTAAGGAAAAGCAAATCTCCACAAACAGGCCTGATGAATTAGTTTTGACTGGTGCCAATTAAGGAGCTGTAAGTCAAATAGCCCCACTGCTTCCAAGCAGCCACATAACACTTACAATCTATACTGATCTCAGAGCAGATGTGATATCAAAAAGGGCTCAATTCCCACATCTATACAAGCCTTGGGTTTTTGCAAAGAATAGCCTATCTCTGCTAGCCCCCTTTATCATGTCCACAGACGGTTGCAGTAGAGAATCTGATTTTAATGAATCCCCTCCAAGGAATTCTGCATGTCTTAAGTGCTTAGTAGAAGATACTGGATTTTCATTTCATCCACAAACTGTCCTTCATGCTCACTGACCTTCCTTTACCAGGGGAAGTGATACTGAGACAGAAAAAGTTCTTGGGGGGCTTTAAATATTCTCTGTCATCTATCACAGCAGGTAAAGGAGCAGCTCATAATGTTAAACAGCTATCAAGAATTTGTTCCCTAAAACAATGGTCAGCTAGTCATCTTACAGGTGCACCTGCTAGGAAAGCTGTCATATTGCAGTATGTGGCAACTTAGCCTGTCTCAGGAGTTCCTGCTCTCCCCTTCATGCAAACAGTGAAGCAGCACAAAACAATCTGATTCTCTAAGCAAGGCGTTGCCAGGTAGAATCCTCTCGCAACCTACAGCTACAAGGCAGTGCCTGTCTAGCCCTCCTGGACATCAACATCTCTCAGTTTGCTACTACATACTGTCAGACATGTTCCCATTAATCTCCACCACTCCTGCAGTTCTTTTGCTGCCTTCAGGTGGGCCCAAGAGCACTCAAAACATAAAATAAGTATGTGGAAAATGAAGAGCTTTTAATAAAAGTATTTTTGATGGGATTGTCCCTAATCCACATCAAGGTAGCCCAGCAGGGAGAGTACTACTAGAAAGGCTGGGAAACATGGCTGACTAGAAATGCTATTTCAGTAGATGTCATCAAAAGGCTAGTAGATAACCTCAGAAAGCTGAAAATAACTGCCATGCTGGCCAACCACTCGGGGTGCACGGGAGAGAGGCAGCGCAAGGCCTTGGGGAGCTCCAGGCCATGCAGTGCTGGGGCTCACACTGGGGAACTTGGCCTAATTAGGGAACAAAAGTTCAGCTGCATTTTTTAGATTCCTCCTGGAGAATCTGGCCAACTTCCAGCTGAGCGATCCCCGGGAACAGGCTGGGAGTCCAGCATTTCTACAAGCGACCAGAAGACCACTAGAGAAAAAGAAGCAATCCCTGTAAAACAGAAGCAGGTAAAAAAGCCAGTGCTTCCTTGGATGCTGATTCCCTTTGGTAGAGGGTGTTTATTAGAACAATGTAAGAATCCAAACAGATGACAGAAATTCTGGGACACGGAGGAGCAAATTCAGCTGAGCCCAGGACAAACACACAAATGGGATGGCATTCACAACATGCAACAGCTACAGGAAACTCTGCCTCAGAGAACCCTCCCAGGTGCTCAGAAATGCCAGTTGCTTCAAGAGCTATCTACTGTCAGTCTACCCCACTCCCAACTGCATACCTAAGAAGGCAAATCCCTGGCCAACATGACGTATACAAAATCCACCAGTAACCCTTGTGAGGGCTCTTCTACAAACTGAAGATCGCAGGGGAGAACAAGATGCTAGAGAAAAACAATGCAGTCAGACTGTAAGGTCTTTGGGAATAGCAAATTTTTGTCCCAGACACACACCAACACTCTCTAGATCTTATTGCAATGCATGTTGTAGATACAGAAAGAGCTATAAGAGGCTTCATTACAATTATACATGACTTCTTAGGTCATGAACTCTCTGACCTAGAGTGGCTGGACAGTCCCTAAACCACTGTGATTATTTTTACACAAATAAGGTCCTGCAGTAAGCACCTGGCTGAGTGCAGCCAGTGCTGGGCTCCTCGGTTGCATGTTTCTAAGTTTCAGGGGATGTGGAGAAGAGCACTTGGGATGGGTGGCTGCTCTGCAGATCCAGACCAGACTAGACAATGGAATGAGAGTTTGAAGCTGGGTGCCAACCACTGTGCGGGGGTAAGAACTGGGTCAGGAAAATACTGCTCTGATTAAAGGCCCTGATCATATCAAGCCCCAGGCCATGTCTACACCACAGGTGCAGACACACCTGCAAGCAGGATCCACGTGAGTCAGCTCAAGTCTGGAAATGGTCTACCTTTAGGTACTTCTGGTAACCAAGCTGGTACCTCCCCAGGTAGAGTGCAGGTTGCTTCTCACCAGGGGATCTCTGCATCATTCTGCACTATGTTTTAGGATGCAAATACACTCACTTAAACAATACCACCAAACTGGGCAACCTAGCAACGTAAGTCCACAATTGGCTTCACAGAGCAAACAGTTGTTCCTGACATGTTCTCTTAACCTAAAAAGCAACAGCTCATTTTTCCATCCAAAATGTTTTAAAAGCACTGGGAACTAGAGCTACAGAAAGACTTAGTTGCCCTCTCTGGAAAGGTCAGATCCTCAAATCCCCTTTCCAGGTCTTGCCTTAAAGCATGTTATCACTCAAACTTTGAGTAATATAGGGCCACAGAGATCAGCATCCACCTAGCTAAGAGTCAGAAATCAGGTGCTCTCCCTGCTTTAGTCCATGAAGGACCTTGAGACCACCTATGGCATGTCTACTAAAGCACTAGAGAACAAGGTCCCAGCTGTACTCATTAGGACTGGTACAGATGTTTTCCCACTCAAACGTTGTTGCCTTCAGTTAGAAAGTCCTTCCCTGCAGCTCAAAATTTCTTTCAGTTCCATTTGCAAAGCAGAGCGGCTTCAGGAGAAAGGACTGAGAGCCTTCTCAGACCCAGAACAGCTCAGAGAATTGTCATTACATACATTCTCCAGAGAGGTGCAAAACATTACTTGATATATCTTTCAGGAGGAGGAAGACAACAATAAAATCAGTATCTTTCAGCCTCAAGAGGAAATGGTGGGTTTAAGTTTCAACATCAAAATGAACACTTCCATCTCTGGAGGTTCCCGAAGGCGAGGAAAAGCCCTGCTCCACTGCTGAAGGCTACAAAACACAGGATGGTGATCAGGATCACCCACAGCTAGTGCAGGGACATGCACTCCCAGAATTCTCAGAATGGGGACAGAACTCCATGGAAGGACAGAGTTTCAGACACACTGCAGTCCCCAGCCATTCTTTACCACCTTAATAGATCCACAGGCCCATCCTGAGATTGTCTACATACTACACAGGCACCTAATACAGGCTCTGGATTTTGCTACTGGGGATAAGCCATCTAAATTCTCCTGTGGATCTACATTTTAGGAATCCCCCCAGTTCTTCTGCATAAAGCTCTAACCCTCCTTTCAGAGAGGGACTAAAGCTAACTAGAAGAGGGACTTCTCCAAGGCCCCAAAGCAAATCCATGGTAAAGCCAGGAAGAAAACCCAGCAACATCTTGGCTTACAGCCATGTTCATACTCTTCCTGCCTATTCTGCCTCTGCAAATTTACTGAGATATTAAGATACACCCTTTATTATACCATTGATCAGCCTTACAGCCTTTGGCTAAATGTCCCAGGCAGCCTTGGAAGGTGCAGCCAAATGAGTGATTCAACTGGCAAAAATTCAGATGCAAGATGAGTGGTTTGACTGGGGATGCAAAACAAGTCTCAGAGCAGGCAGATGGCTGGAGGGCAGGACTTCAGCAGGTACGTTCACATCGCCAGCCCAGATGGGGCTGTTTGCTGGTATTCAGGCAGCCACAAAGTATCTTCAGCACAGCAAGAGGCAAGGGACCAAATCCAGGAAGAGTTCAGATTGTAACACTCAGCACAGCCCAAAGGGAGTTCAGAAAAGGGTTACATGAGCCATCAGGGAGACGAAGGGGCCAACTTCGGACAAATGATTCAAGAAGCCAAGTATTTCAGCTTGGCTAGGCATGACTAAGGGAGGGATATACCGCCACAAGTTTTGGATCACACTTTATAATATAAAGTTCCACTAATAATTGGTTTGGAAGAGACTTATGATACAATTAACAGAAGTTTGTAAGAATATAGTATTGTAAGTTACAAGCAGCTTACTGATCAGTTAACTCAGTTAATCATTTTGTTACCTTTCACAAGCATTTGCAAACGGAAAAATATTATGGAGTGTGACTCTGATGCTTAAGAGCATAAGCCTGAAAAATGGGGTGCAGGAGTTATCCAAACAAGAGGGATTTCAAAGCAGAGATCACTTCATACTAAGGAAAATATCCTTGCCAGGCACCATTGCATAACATCCCTGAAGCAACAACAATTGCTCATGTGGAAGAGTCACATCAGTTTAGTTATTTTAATGAAATTTAGCAGTCAGGTGCAAGAAGGCGCCTGTGGCATGTGACCAGCCACCACACAGTACAGCAGACCTTGGGAATCAATGATTTAGGGCACTGTATGGAGGTAGAATTAGTCCCAGTGAAATGACTGTAAGGACTGGTTCCTGTGAAGTGGCAGGGGGCAGGTTTAGATCAATTATCATGAAAAATTTCTATTGGGCAACCAGTCCCCAAAACTATACCCATCAGTGGGAGGTCTCTCTGCCTGATAAATGGAAAAGTGCTCTGGGCATAGTCCTGAACCATCCATCACTGACGAATAAACCCAGTGGATCTTTCCTGCAATACCATCTCTAGCACTACCAAGAGGAAAGTGAGCTAATCTGAATAGTCTTGACTCCTTGTGATGAGCATACCCTTCTGAGGCCAGCATTAATGAGATGGGTGATACGGGTTTCTTTTCTGGGCTTTAAATTTCACAAATCAATCTACTATGCTACTAGTACTGGGCTGATGCTTCAGCAAAAGGAATTAAGAGTATGGGAGAAGATGATTTAAATTGTCTAACACACACAGAGAACAACTACAGCCAGGAAAAATTGGGCAGCACCAATTCCATGATTAGGAAGAATACAAAACAATTAGCCCGAAGACTTCAACAGAAACAGTTACTGGTTCTCAGGTTGCTCTGAACAGCACCATCCTGACTTCTACTGCCAAATGAATGTTGAGATGTATTTTAGCATTGCTGCAGGATGAGAAAGGGTATGTGTATTCCTTTTCTCTGTATAACAGGAGCCTGGTAAGAAGCACTACGCCATCTTATTAACCACAGATATTAGCATTCCAGCGCTGATGCAATAAAAATGAAAGACTTATAGAAAATACAAAGGTACACATCCTTGCTACTACTGACTGGCCTTCTCCTCTGGGGCACCAGCAAGACTTCATAACCCCTGAAGACAGGTTTTCATGTTATGGGAGCAAGCTAACCACACTGGACAGCAAATCTAGGCTCAGTCGGGTTTTGTACTCCATTAGCTAATTGCTGCCCTGACTTTTAAATGAAAATAGAATATCCTTCCAATGGCCACATATATATGTGACCTCAGAACAAGATGCAGCAGCTGATAAGAGCAGCTGTTACAAATATAATAAAAAAATCTGTCAGCAATAGGAACAGAGGATGCAGGAAAGGCACTGCATCTTTGGCAAACTCTGTCTTATTCTCCAACACAAGAGTCCCCTCTTAAGGTAGTCTCGAGACACGTGAATAGGTTAGTCCTACAAGTCCCCTTCAGAGGAGCCAGCATCTACCTAGAAAGCCTCTAGTCTTACATGGTCAACCTTTTCCTCAGGGTCTTCATCCTAGAAGGATCAGGAAGGAAAAAAAAAAAGAGAAAGAAATTAAAAGGAAGAACTCTGGAATCCTGCATAAAACTAGCTTGAAGATTGACATGAATGGCTGTCCTGCAGCACATGCTTTGCAACCTTTTTCACTTGAAGAAAGCACAAAGTTGATCCCACCATTGTAAAATTTTATATCAGAGTCATTTATGCACATACCAACTGTGATGCTATAAAACAGGTCTGTTTGACTGCAATGGCAGGGAAGTCTGCCAGCAATCAGACCTTGAAAAGCATACTGAAGAAAAAAAAAAAAAAGACAAATGAGAGCAAGAAGAGAACAGACTTAGTTCCTTCTCCCTGTAGCAGGAGAAGCCCCCAGTTATTCAGGTGTATAGGATGCTATAAAGATTTGTATGGATAGGCTCTGCAACTATGTCAGAGACCAGAAATTATGCTGGACTAATCATACTAGGGGTTATATACTGTAGCAGACTGCAGCCTTTTTTTCAGGAGCTACTGTTTCTTAAGGCAACCTCAGATCCTCCACTGGGAGCAGGAGCTGTAGCAGTTAACATAAGATAGGCATAGCTGACAACAGTGTTAGCATTAGTATATGAACTTTAGTTAATCTTACAGTATAAGGGAGTAGCTTGGTTATGGGGTAGATGAGTAACCCAAGGAAAGGAACCCGTTAATCACTGTGAAAGCTGCAAACTGGTTGAGAACCTTCCTGATGAGTAGACTGCCAGCACCAGCAGCGGCAATAACCAGTTGCTAGGCACGAAACTCAAGGAGGCTAGGATAGCATAGGTAGTCTCTATGCTATCCGAGCAATGAGAGTGTTCAGAATCACTCAGATGGAGTATTTAGGGTATCCCATGACCCTGCACCAGTAGTACACACAGGATGGCTGGAAACACTACACTAACTCACCTGGCTTTTCCTCTTGACTGCATTATCTCTCCTGTGGAAGAGGGAAACCATGTGATTCATAAATTGTATGTATCACTGATTAAAGTGGTTTGGTACCTGAGTCCACTTAGTGTTTGTGCTATCATCTGGTCTTAACGGTCTTACCATGACAGGAACAGAGGGAGGCTACATGCAGGTTAGGGCAGCCAGGATATAGAAGTGTCCTTATCAGCGAGCAGCATAAACGAAATCAGATTTCCCCAACTGGTAAAATCTGTTGGAAGTATGTATCTGTCAGCCAGGGACGCACTTGTTCCAACACTCAAGAGCAGAAAGGCTTCTGCTGGGCCCAACATGACCTAAGCTTCTCTGGACATACGGACCCCGAGTGGTACAGGACTCACAGCAGCAGAGAAGGAAATCCAGCTGGACAACACATGTTGGAAAAGCATTTAAATTACCACTTCTTTGAGCAATCTTCCACGTGGATTTCACCCTCAGCAACTGATTTGCAGTTGTTTATTCACTTGGGTTAGATAACCAAGTCCTATTTAAACGATGCCTGGATGTCAGCCTAAAGAATCACTGCCAGGAGTGTTTGTAAGCTGGATGGAGGAAGTCCAAATAGTTGCTTTGCAAAATTCACCTGCAAGAACATCTTCCCACTATGCAGTGGAGGTGGCCCAGGCTTTTGTCTGACTACATTAATCTATCCTGAATAAGGTATTTTTTACAACATAGAAATGTTCACTTTTTAATTATCACCCAAGGTCCACAACTACATAGGCAAGCTTACAAATACCAGGTATGACAACAAGAGAAGAACGTACTTTCAGAAGTGAAAGCACAGAGCCTTTCCCCAGGCTTTGGTGAAATGTGGGCAAGAGAATCAGCAGAGAAATCGGATGATTTTGGGGCATACCCTGATATAAAGTGATCCTGTCCTACCTGTGTGGAGATATTCTCAACATAGCCTGGAAAACCCTCAACGTTTAGGCTGACATATTGCCTGTTAAAGCAAACTCCACTCAAAGGATCTACAAAGTGCTGCCAGAGAGATACTGACAATATCATATTGCGATTGTAAGAGGCAGAAACCAGGCAAATCTTGAACAAGGTCCCAAGGGAACCCCATCATTGTAGCATGAAGAGAAAGCAGACTGTGGAAGCAGGTCAACACTACAATATTTTTGCATACTGATTTCTTATGGAACAGCAGATAGTTCACTCTCGCTGAGAAGAGACACAGAAAAGGAAAAAATTGCTGATACATTTTAAAAAAAGGCTTTTCCACTCAGCTTTCCTAATTGGTCTCCTCAAGAGCTCCGAACCTGTCCAAACAGCTTCTTTTGGTGGATATCATGAAGCCACCATTCAGGGTGTTGGATGAAGTGATGTAGAGCCAGGAAAAAGGTTTTACTTTTATTCTATAAAAGTGTCCAGAAGTTCTGATAGGATGGGACCGCAAAGATCTTCAACAGATCCCATTATATGATCTGACCCTCCCATTATACAAATAACATGACCAGCCTGAGTTTGTCCCATTTTGTCAGAAACTTGATAGCATCAAGATGAGTAAAAAGTAACACAACAAGCCAGGGGATGGGAAAGGCCTCCTAATGGAAAAAGGGATACATTACCCCTCTGAAAATGAATGTTTGAAATGCAGTGTTCTGGCATGCAGCAAGCAGATTTATCTCTAGGAATTCCCATTTACAGCATATTCCCCTGGGTGCCCAAGAAGTGCCTGCCGATTTGCCAAGGAACTCTAAAGGCCAGGAACACGCACAGCCATTGCTGCAGGAGGATGCTGACTGCACCAATTACAGCAAATAATCATGTTCCTTCTTGCCTCATGAAATAATACATAGCTGCAGTGTTGTTTGTTAGTACTTGTACTTTTGAAAAGGCAGGAATGCTCTGCATGTCAGATGGCAGACTGTGAGCTTTGTGACCCTTAGTGAGCCCACTGAGACAGAAGTCTAAATTTCTAAGTAATGCAGCTATTTCCACACAGGAATGGGAATTATCAAATAGAGATTTGGGCAGAGGAATTACAGATACACCCCTGTAGTTAAGGAACTTATTGTGGGAGATATATACACACAACAGGCACTGAAAAGATACTAAGATATCACGCTGTTTTCATAGAGCTTGGGGGAAGACTATTAGGCTACAAGGCACAAGATATTGCCCCTGTGCCCTAGGGAATGAGGTTTTAACAAGACATTTGTGAGAGAAGACACGCAGTTGAGGAGTGTATCATTGTTTGGAGACTCTTTTGGAATACAGAGTCCAGGTCAAGGAAAGATCAGCAGTAATCTGGTAAAACCTATGCTCCAAGCCAGATGACTTGCCAGTTGACTTCAAAACAAAGACCTTCACATTATGTTAAATGAGTTGTTCACCCCTCAAAGTGAATTTCCTTGTAATAAGCCCAAATGTTGAAACATGGATAGACAGGTACTTTTTGCTTCCTTCAAGGAAGTTGCTCTGACTGGAAAACACTTCCTGGATGGTTCTCAGTGTCATGAAAAAACCCAAACAGTAGCACGAATGGGACGTTCATACCAGAAATTTGAGCTGGGTGGAAACTGGGTGGATTGACATAGAATTAAAAAAAACAAAAAGTCAAGGTGAATCTTAAAAGCAGTTTTAAAACTCTGAGGAACTACTGAGGGCAGAATCACCACCCTGAATGTGAAACTACACACGAAGGTGATGGCAAAGGGTTAAGACAAACCCCTTTGTCTTCAAAATCAGTAATAAGAATAAAACCTCCTATGCTGAAATTAATTACATGGGGCCTCCTCCACTACTGCCAGTTCCAGAAAAAAGTACTATTTTTTTTTAAATTTTGATTTCTTTTGGGAAGGTTCCTTGAAAAGGTTTCAAGATGACCAGATGGCTGAATGAGACATCCATTGTAACAGCTGACCACACCACTTGGAGGCAGGCCAAGGCCAAGCTTCCAAAAAACTAAAAGGTGATTGCCAATCTAGGGTGAGGGGAAAAAACAGTATTAGTTATATTCAGTGCTCACTTTGGTATCAAATATGATAGTGTATAAGAAGCCTCCAATTTTGGAGCAAGGAAACGGCTAAGGATTATTTATAGTGGATTTTGTTTCTTCTCCAGTAGCTCCAAGGTCTTCAGTTAACAGCAACTTATAGCAACAAAGAACTGTCTGAAGGGAGACTATTGACACAAACGGTTCTTTCTGGTGGTTAAGATCCAGTAATAACATATTTGAATCTTCTAAGGCGTGGAAGGCCTCACCCTTCTGCTGCTGAAAAGCTCACTCCTTTCAAACAGGAGATTGTAACTACTTCTTAGTCCTCTCCAGGGGTGCCCAAGGGCTGGAGCCTTTATGATCTCTTCCCAGCTATTACAATGGCTATGATGTGAGATACACCAAGCACAACCACAGTAAGTTACAGTCAGTCAGCTGTACCCCTACATCACACCCTAGTCTCTTCCTAACCAGGGAATGAGTCCATGAACTAGGACGGCCAGTTCCAGTAAGAGAAAAATCTGACAGTGAGCCACCCTAATCTGGAGGCTAATCAACAATTACACCCACTTAAACCAGCAGCTGGTTTCTTTAAGGTTTTCTTTACCTATGAGGCCCATGGTTATTTCAATTTCTTAAATTATGCCTTTTGCAAACTCCCTCATGGAATCCTTCCTGAACTCCTATAAGCATACTCAGGGAGGGGAGAATGCATAGGTGGCAGATGATTCTCTGTTATGCCTATCAAGAGAAAAAGAGTATACTTTCTCCAGAAAAAAAAAAAAACAAAAACCAAAAACCAAACAGCCTGTTCTACAAGGTGCTATCATGGACATAACGGTGTATTTTCAACAGCATTGCAGGGACTCCAAGGAAATATCCCCCACAAAACAATTTCAGCACAGGTGGCTGGGACACAACTACTCAGTGTAATAGAAGAGTTTTGTCATGGCACAGAGGATCAAGGAGTAGCCACTCCCAAGACAGAAGGTCCCAGGGCTCTGAGCACAGTAGCTTGGAGCACAGTTGGTGCCAGGGTGGCCAGCAGGGCAAAGCAGTTCTACAGTTTAAAGAAGCAAAGAATATGGTATGATGGAAACCACTCCTGGCATTGCAAAAAGTTAAGTATCATCTCATTTAAACAAATATCACTGTCAATAAGATGGAAGCCTGATGACCCTTTTGTCCATCTGAAAGTTTCAGGTAGCAACATCTGTACATCATTTCTTGATAGCTGCTCCTTCCAGCAGGAGATGCCTGTGGAGAAGCCATGCTAACATGAGAGATCAAACTTCCAGGTAGAATTTGAGTATTCTGCAGCGCTAAGCAAGAAAGTAAATAGAAAGGGTGCAGTCCTCATCTTTCTCGGTATTGGAGGATGTTGCCTTACTGTCCCATGAAAGAAGGGTTCCAGACCATCTTCTGCTTTTTGAGATGTACTGACAGAACAGACTCCAAACAAAAGTTTTTCTCCAAAGCCAAGTGATAACTGAGTTTGCATATTATTACCCACAAGAGAAAGTCTCAGATGCTGCAAAGCAGGCTCCTAGCATGACTTTTGTAGCCTGTGCATGGAAGAAAGGAAAAAGAGGGCCACTATACAAACTTCATACTGACCACCTCAGATACTATACTCTGGTTCTAGCAAAGTGCAAAAGTAAGGCATCTTCTTACCTGAACTCTGTCTTGCTATCATAGATGATGGTGAAACTAGTCACAAAATTATGTGCCTGCTCGTATCTTAATTCCCATGGAAGATATGCATGTAGAGGAGGGAGAGGCCCCAAGTCCTGTTTGATGCTACTCTCCATACCTCTCATGTGAGAAACCGTAGCCCCAGATATGACCCTGCGTGAAAGCTATACGTGCAGAGGGCAACACCAGGACAGCGACAGGGCAGTGACATGGGTTCCAACTCTAAGGACAAACTTCAAAGGACAGAGCATACCGTGCGGGAAAGAACCTCAGAGGAAATGAAGAATCCTCCACTGGAGACACCAGCAGGATTACAGACAGGTTCCCCTGACAGAAAACCCACCTCTCCAAGAGAAGCAGACGGGGAATTCTTCCTGTTGAGATTTTCATCTGGAAAGAAGTCCTGCCGGGCTCGACGGCCCATCTTTAGCACCTGTAGTGCAGGGGGAGAGGTGAAGGAGCAGAGGGCACACCGTTACTGACAAAAGCTGCTTCCGAGCAGGGGGGGAAACTTGCAGTTACGCTATGCCCTGCAGTGAGACGCGTTCCCCTAAAGCGTGCAAAAGCATTAGCAGCCGCAGGTGTTAATCCCGCGGCCGGTGCGCGGCTCACGCTCCTCCACCTCCCCCGCGGGCGGCTCAGCCCTTCCCGCCCGCCGGCACGGCGTCCCACGGAAGCCTTAACCCCGCGGCCGTACCCACGGAGAGCCCGCGCAGGCTCCACCTCCCGGCCTCCGCCGCCCCTCCGGGGGTTGGGGGCTCCCGACCCCGGCCCCGAGGCCGCCCCGACCGCGCTCTTCCCGCCCGCCTACGAACGGGCCGCGGGGAAAAGGCCCCGGAGGCCCCGCGCAGAGAGACGTGGCCGCGGCCCCGGCGCTCGCGCCCCGCGACCGGTAACGGCCGCAGCTCGCGCACGCGGCAGGACGGCCTCGCCGCGACCCGGGCCCCGCTCACCCCGGCGACACCCCCCCGCCGCGGCGCCGCCGCCCGCTCCGCCTCAGCCTCCATCCGCCGCCGCCGCCGCCGGTGCTTCCGGCGGACAGCCCGCCCCCCCCCCGGCCGCGGCAACCGCCGCCCGCCGGGGCCGCGCCGCTGTCCCACCGCGACACGGCCCGTCGCCCGTGGGGCCCCCGCCCGGGCCCTCCGGGGCAGCCGGCAGGCCGCGCACCTCACAAAGCCTGGCTCAAGGCGGGCTGGGTGTCCCTGCTAGACAGCCGGCAACGCATTGCAACGCCGGGTCCCCCTGCGAGCCACAGAAACAGCCTGTTAGCAATCTTAAAATCTTGGCCCGGCTAACGGCCGGCAGCGGTGCTGCGATTTCCCAGCACCATACGTCATGCAAGTACTCTTTTATCAGTTTTCAATTTCACATGCAGCGGGGGCAGGTTGAAAGCAGCCTGCCGCTCTGCCTTCTCCAGCTCTTTACTGTATACGCTTTTTAAATTCCCTCTCAAGCAGATAATCCCAGCCTTGCAGATCTGTCTCCCCACAGAGGGCTTTGCCAAGTCTCCCGATCGCTTCTGATGCTCTTCCCAATTCTCTCTAGCTCTCTAACGCCGCTTTCCAGACAGGGCGGCTGGTCCCCAGAGCGCTCGGTGGAGGCAGTCCCAAGGATCAAAGAATAAGCGCGGCAATCATTACACACATGCCTCTCTTGTGCAGAGATTTCCACTGAGCGGCATAAAACCACCCCTGCTCCCTTTCTTGGCTGGACAGATGTATAGATTAATTGTAAATAGATCTGGTTTTAGCTCCACGTGTTAAATAAACACTCAGTTCTCCAGTGCTTTGTTCATTTGCCTGTATTTTTTCTGGTATCTCCGACATTCCTCACAATCTTTGCCCATCCTTATTAGCCTAAATAATCATCATCCATTTATTCTGCTGCTACAGTTAAGAATTGTACCACCACAAATTACAGTGTTAACACCTCGCCGTGATGAAAATTGACTGTGTAACCCTAGAGTTTTAATTTCTTCCAGGAATACCTTTTTCTAAAGGCACCAAATACCACTCTATACCTGCTTAGCTTTAGTAGAAGCTCATGGCCTGGCTGAGGAACTTTAAGAAGTCTAAATAAATTGTGTCAAATAATTATCCTTTTTTCCATTCCTTGCTGACATTTTCAAGTAGTTGTGCTGTGACTGTGATGATCTAGGGATTAAGTGAAATAAGGTTTGTGGGCAGAGGTAATAACTTTTTATTAGACCAACTGATATAGCTGGAAAAAAACATACAAGAAGTGTGTCTGTGCCTGAAAGCTTGTCTGTTTTTTCCAGCTATATCGATTGGTCTAATAAAAGATATTATCTCCCTTTACAAACCTTGACATGTTCAACAAATTCAGTAAGTGAGATGTGATTTTCCTTTTTGAAGCCAGGCTGGTTAGGCTCTGTGAAATCATGATCTCCCAGGTACTTTGTTCTTCTCTTTTAATTACAGATTTGAGTAATCATGAGGTATAGAGGACAGTTTTCCCCCAGCCCCATGCTTCATCACTGGGGCCACAGGAATACGGCCCTGCGTTTCCCACTTCCCATCCGCTCCCCCGAAGAGCCGCCGCACCAGCACAGCTACACAGATACCAGCAGATGGAGGGGACTGTAGCCCCTGGGTTGCAGTAACTGCTGCAGAATGTCCGAGTCCAAGCATACATTTACAGCCAACCTTCCTGGTCAGAAAAAGAGCTTCCTAAGAGGTGTGTGATTGCATCCAGAGCAACGCCTGCGCGTCCCTGGGGCAAGAATGCTTGTGTAGGAGAGCACTGCGGGCTGTGGCCCCAAACAGGTAGCTTGGCTGGGGTGTTCCTGCCGGAGGCAGGGCAGGAACAGTACAGGGTGCCACCCTGGATGGACAGATCACGAAGCAGCAGGAGCTGTGGGTTCACTCATCTGGAACTGACCCCCCCCAAGCCCCTCCTCACATTTCTCCTGGGTCCCCATCCCAGACACCCCCCCACTAGCACATCCCGCCTCCCCCCAAGGCACACTGTGCTGCTTGCTGCCCACCCCAGTGACAGGAGCCTCAGGCCAATTGAAGGAGGGTGGAGTCCACATGCAGGAAAGAAAACATTTAAGCACTTGGGGAATTGAGCCTTTCTCAGAACTTTGACTTCTGACTTCGGAGAATCTTAATGAGAGAGAAGAGCAGACATGCAGAAAGAATGAAACCTAAAATCTGTCCTGCCTTGAGTCCCTCTGGATTCCTCCGCTTATCAGGATGGGGATTTTCACCCACCCTGACACATTTTTGCCTGCTTGGGGAGGGCAACAGAGAAGAAAGAGCTTTCATCCCTCATTTGACAGTGTGGCTAAAATGGATCTCGCTCGCTTTAAACATTGAGGTCACCTTTTCTGAACAGCTTAATTCTCCTACGCTCTACTGGTGACGCTGCAGGCAGCATTTGATCCCGGGCCTAGAGCAGCCTCACTCAACCGAGAAGGAGACACAGCTAACAGGACAAATGTCTGGTACTGCTGTGGCTGTCTAAAGCCATTTTCTGTGCTTGCTTCCTGTCCAGTTCAGGACCATAGTGCCAGGGCTTCTCTTCCCCAGTGTACGGTTTCAGGTGTATTCTCAGGTCTCAGTCTGCTTTACTTGTTCAGTTTTGCCCTCACTATAAATCATGCTGCTGCCACCCCCTCTCATCTGAACAGCGAATAAGAACTATGTAAGCATTCCTTTCACAGACAAGTTCTCACACCTAAGCATGGACTCCCTCCATCTGGTTTCAACCCAAACCCGATCACGCAGGATAGGACTAACAGAGTCCCCCACCAGCACTGTTTGCTGTTGATTACTCCTTGACTGGTCCTATGAATAGAGCTTGTGTCTGGTCCTCCTCCTACCCCATAGAAAGCCGTGAGAGTCTGGGAAAGCAATCACACTTGAGCATTCCCACATGCTTCTGGTCCTAGACCACCTTTAGAGGGAGGGCACACACATGTAGTCAAAGCTACAGCTATGGTGGAAAGCCCACACGGTAGCACTGCTGCGGGAGAGAACAACGACCACCTTATTCAGAGCGGCCAAAGGTTTTGTTAGGCAGCTCTCTGTCAGCAGTAGGATTTATGGGACGCAAGGCAATTCCAGTAGCAACCAGTGACACAGTGCTGCGCCTTTCTTCCTCACCCAGTCCTCATATCAGGTCACCAGCTACACTCCTGATTTCGATAGGGGCTGAATCTTCCACTGGGAAGCAAAGCGCTCAACAAAGACTGCTGCCGTAGCCTGTTCCACACTAGCAGCACACTGGCAGCTCCAACCACTAGAGTTTGATTTTTCTGCAATTTTTTTCTCCATGCACCTCAAAGTATTTACCCCATCTCTAAGGTTTTTTTGGAGGAGGGAAACAACTGCAAATATTCTGTTATTTGTGTGGGTTCCAGGACAAAACCTCCTAACAATTGCAAAGCTTCAAATGAGAAGTTCCTCCCTCTGGCAGGTGGAAGGGGCTCTGATAAGCAGAAAAGGCTCACGCATTTGCCTGTCTTGATCTCCGTGAGCAGAGACGCTGTTCGGGTTACATCAGCCCCAGCTCAGGCTGTCGAACCCCAGCCAAGGTTGCCAAGTGTGAAATATTTCCTACGATACTCACACATTCAGTAGCCCTGTTGGGCTCTCCCTCAGCCCAGCTGGATTCCAGTGTATCCAAGATGCACAACCTGTTAGCAATGGCTGCTCACAGCCACCAGCAGCAGTTCCAGCACACATCAGACCACGAGGCTTCCCCCCCTCTTCTCAATCCAGAGAGCAACACCCAGAGCGGAAAGCGAGTAGCCCAATCCTGGAACCGGCACCACACCTACATCCTTCTTCTCTGCTATTATTCCTGAGCAGTCAGTCCCCATTGTCAACTCGTAACTGAAGAATCTGCTCTCAGCCACTAACAATATAAGCTTACATTTTGTACTATTGCGTTTCATCCCATTTCTACTGCCTCAGCCATCAAAATTGCCCACCCTCCTCCTATAGGATATTGCAGTCCTCCCCCGTATTGACAAAGCCTCCCAGCTTTGGATAAGCAGCCAATTTCATTAGCACATCCATTTCAGCGTGCCAAGATCGTTAATGAAAACTCGGCCCAGGACCAGCCACTGGAGAACTCTTCTAGTAAGCTCTTATAATTCCTGTATTTATCTCCATCTTAACTAATAACCCACCATGCGGCACTGTAGCAAATGGATTACTAAAGTCCAAAGCAATCAGTTCTACCGCATTTAGTGTGACCTCCAATCCAGCGCAGGGTAAGAGAGGTCCCAGAGCAGAAAAGCATCCAGAATCCACTTCAGAAGTGCCTGGGGAGCTCTAGAAACGTCCATCTCAATCTACATAAAAATACTCCATGGCTAGTTAACAGCAGCACTCAGACTTTGCACCTTACTCCAAGTTGTGATTCGCCTGACATCATCTTAGAGCCACTAGATCTTGTTACATCTTTGTCTGCTCCATCAAGGAACTCAAATTCCTCTTCCACAAGCAAAACACACACAAACTGAGCAGCTCACCCTTCGGTCTCCTCAGAGCCACAAGGAACACACGGGCTCACCAGGTGTCCAGCAGCCCCCGCTGTCCCATGGATTTTCTCTGAACCTCTTCCACAGCCCGTTTCTTCGGCGAGCCACCGGCTTCTGGGCTGGCAGCGCTCTCCCAGCCCCGGCCCCATGAACATGCGGACGAGGGAAGGCTCCCCGCGGCCGTGCCGCTGTTCCCAGCCGCAGACGGGCCGTGCTGCCGCCCCACAGCAGCCCCTGGGGCCGCACATCCCTGGGGCCCAACTCTTCCAGAGCACGAAGCCCCCCTGGACTTGCTTCCACGGAGGGCTCTGCCCTGCTCCCGCCTCGCCCGCAGCCCCGCCGCCGCCGCCCCTGCCGCATTGTCCCGACGGCACAGCCAGGCCAGGGGCCTTTTCGGCGGAGCGTTTTGGCGCTGCGAGATGCTGCGCTGGGTCAGGAAGGCACGAAGCCGCCATCTCGCACAGGCCCCGGCCACGGGCCGTGAGGGGCACAACCGGGGCCGGTGTTTTGTCTCCTGTGCGTGGCCCCGGCCCCCCTCGAGGGCAGCAGGTGCCCAAAGCAGCCCCTTCCCCTCGGCGAGGGCTGCCGTGGCGGGGGGGATTCCTCCGCGCTCCAGCGGCCGCCCGCCTTCAGGGCCGCAAGGCCTCCCGCTGCCCGGCCGCCACCTTCCCCCCGGCCCCCGGGGCCTCGCCGCGGCCCGCCGCAGCCCCTTGCCCGCAGCGCGGCGCCCGGTCCCGCCGGCCGCCCGGCCCCTCCCTCCCTCGGAAAGAAACCACATCAGGAAACTATTCGGGGTATTTTTAGCCGCTTTTAATGCGATTTCGCAGCTGGAAACGGGAGGGGCCTCCCCGCGCCGCCCGCCAGCGCGCGGCGGACCACCGCGAAGGGCCCGGCCGCCGCCGCCGCCGCCGCCGCCCCGCGCCCGCCGCGGCCCC